TTTCTCCTTAGTTCTAGGTTGCTTCTCTCCTTGATTAGTTTCCATCCGTTGCTTCTTGTCCTGCCTTCAGGCGCTTTGGAAAATAGCTTGACTCCCTCTTCTTTGTGGCAGCCCCTGAGATACTGGAACACTGCTATCATGTCCCCCCTCGTCCTTCTCTTCATTAAACTAGACATACCCAATTCCAGCAACCGTTCCTCATATGTTTTAGCCTCCAGTCCCCTGATCATCTTTGTTGCTCTTCTCTGTACTCTTTCTAGAGTCTCAACGTCTTTTTTACACCGTGGTGACCAAAACTGGATGCAGTATTCCAAGTGTGGCCTTACCAAGGCATTGTAAAGTGGTATTAATACTTCTCATGATCTTGATTCTATCCCTCTGTTGATGCAGCCTAGCACTTAGAACACAACTTGGAGCGGCTCACAAAAATAATAAAATTACATACAATTAAGATAATAAAAAGTAAAACCAAGCATTAAAAAGAAAGAAAGAAAGAAAGAAGGAAAGAAAGAAAGAAAGAAAGAAAGAAAGAAAGAAAGAAAGAAAGAAAGAAAGAAAGAAAGAAAGAAAGAAAGAAAGAAAGAAAGAAAGAAAGCTCTCAGGCTCCAACACAATTGGAATGTTAGTGTGGGAGTTTTGGCATCATCTAGATCAGGGGTCTTCAAACTTGGCCCTTTTATGACTTGCGGACTTCAACTCCCAGAATTCCTCAGCCACTGAGGAATTCTGGGAGTTGAAGTCCGCAAGTCATCAAAGGGCCAAGTTTGAAGACCCCTGACCTAGTGGTTTTGTGTTTTGTTGAGCCTCAACACAGTGTTAGCCGTAATTTTATTTTAATGCAGTTGTCTGCTTTGATTTTGTTTCCTGGCAGAGTTTCTGGGAGAGATAGCCTGCCTTACGAATTGGTTTAATACATAAAATAAATGATGCCACCAATATGTTTGGGAATTACAGGGCGAAACAGAATTCAAGCAAAGGAAATATTAAATTCATTTTAAAAGATAACGGTTTAATTCAGTTTCCTGGAATCCTTTAAATGATTGAAAGTATATAAAAAAAACTTGTCATGGAAATCAGTAGTTTAAATCTAATGAAATTGACTAGTCACTGTGAAACGTTTGTGTTATTGTTCTATATAGGTAATCCTTGGCACAAGTGATCCCAATATTTCTCTTGCTTAAGTGGGACAATTGTTAAGTGAGTTTCGAGCTATTTTATGGCTTTTCTTGCCACAGTTGTTAAGTGAACCCCTGCAGTTGTTAAAATTAAATTGTCTGGGTTCCAACATTTAACTTACTAATACATGTTAAATTCCTTTCTCTTTACCTCGTTTTTCTAGCCCAGGGGTAGGCAACCTTGGCTCTTTTATGACTCGTGGACTTCAACTCCCAGAATTCCTGAGCCAGCATGGCTCAGCTTGGAAACCTCTCCATTTCTCCTCAGTGTGGCTGGCTCAGGAATTCTGGGAGTTGAAGTCCACGAGTCATAAAAGAGCCAAGGTTGCCTACCCCTGACTTAGACAATAAAAAAATATATGTTTTCTTACTGGTGTTAACTCTTTGTGACAGATATTCAGGAGAGGAAAACTGATTTGAGGGAATCTTGTTTAAACAAAAACCATTGGCTCTTTTATGACTCGTGGACTTCAGCTCCCAGAATTCCTGAGCCAGCATGGCACGCTGGCTGAGGAATTCTGGGAGTTGAAGTCCAGAAGTCATAAAAGGGCCAAGTTTGAAGACCCCTGAGCTGGTGGAATTGCTTTCTTTCTACCTGTTCTCTGATGTAAGTCAACCACCTGTTTTCTATCCTCAAGCAGCCAGATGCCACAAGGAAGCTATTCTCAATGTTATGTCTAACCTAAGAATTGTCTGCAGATGTAACTCAGTCAAGCAGATAATTAACTTACGTTCCGAAATCGTAAAATTGTTGAATCCTTATGCAGTATTTTCAGAAGGCATAGCAATTCAATTTGTAAACCTAAGAGGAATTTCATGATTTGTTATTCTCCTGCTACGAAGAAATGGATTATTGTGCATATAGGTTGGGAAAATGAGAAGTTGAAGCAATATGTGTTATAGGTTCAAGAGAAAAAAACATTGTTATTTTTAGTGATTTAGTGATTTTTATCTATTAATGTTGATAGTTAGGATTTTCTGAGATTTTATTATTCGTGTTTATTTAATAGATGAATTTATTTGTTTATTAACTGTTTGTAATATGACTATAGTTAAGCTTATTTTAAGATATTCACTCATTATTATGATCCGGACAGTTGCTTGTTTGTTAAAATATGTGATTGTACCTTTCCTTATTTTATCCTAAATCCCCTATTTCCTTCCCCCATCCCCCTCCCTTACCATACCCATATTGTTCCTAATTTTCCCTTATCTATATAAACTCAATAAAATATTGTTAAAAAAAGAGAGAAAAATTGAATTCATTAATGCCCATGGATTTTTTTTAAGCTCTTTTTTTCCTCTTCTGTTGCATTGAGTTTTTTAATCACTATAATATCACACTTTTTAAAAGTTTTATAACTCCTACTGTATTTCTTTGTCATTGTATTTGTTTTAAAAAAAATTTAAAAATGAAATCCTATCCTACAAATGTCCCTTAATCACCTTTCAAGTCCACTCTTGATAACAGTTTCTGTGTTAATCATAGAATATAAATGCTTATGGAAATGAATCTTACATTTCCTTGTTTTAAAATGTTTATTATTCCTTGTTTGGTTATGTTTCATTCATTTTGACGATAACTATCTAACAATGTTTCTGAGATTATATTCAAATATCCTGCAGGAACCTTTTCCTAATTCCACTTTTTATTTTTGGAACTCATTTATTTATGTAAGAAATTCAGTTCTGCCTTTCCACTATAATCAGAGCTGGTTATATAAGAGCTTTAGAACAATAATATTTAAAAACACTACATCATTATTACAGCCAAAAACCCTCATATACCATATCAAACAGGCAATAAATTAAATTCATTTTTATCAAGACAAAGTTAGCAGTTTTTAAAATTGTGTGGTTTTCAGTAACATTTGTTGATTTTTACAATTATCTGTTCACAGGTGTGTGTGTGTGTGTTTGTGTGTGTGTGTGTGTGTGTGAAATTATAGGTGCCAGTTGTTTACCTGGTACAGGTCTTCATATGCATCAATTTCTTGATGATGTGATATATCAATGTAGTATATGTGTGGACCCATATTTTGCAATTCACAGGTAGAAATTTCGTCAACGTGCAGATTTTTCTAAGTAGCATCCAAGATTTTTTGGTATGGCACTACTACAGCTGGTTCATGCCATAATCTTTCAATTTCAATTTTCAGATCTTAATAGTTTATGATCTTCACCAATTCTTCATCCTCTACTATCCTCTGGTATTACCGCATCAATTATCCATAGATTATTTTATCGACCATAGTTAAATCTTGTTTATTATGAACTAAGACTACCAATCTGTGCTCGGATATCCCATAATGTTATAAGCCAGGGGTGTCAAACTGCCGGCCCGCGGGCTAGATGCATCATGCTGAAACTGCGCCCACCCCATTGGCGGCAATGGGAAAAAAGTCACAATACGTCGCGACACGTCACATGATGTTGCGAGTTTGACACCCCTGAGTTAAGCTGCCCATTTTTACTATTTTTTCAATTCTGTATTCCCACCAGTTTTTCATTACTGGCACATGATAATTTTTACAGATGGTCCAATGAGTCGTTTTGGCATCTGCGTTATGTTCTTGTGTGTAGTCTGTGCAGTTTTCTTGCATGAGCTGAGTATGTAATCTGTTGTTTCTTCTGCCTCTTTGCACAATCTCCACTTTGAAATATTTGATGCTTTCCCCCCCCCCCCAATTCTGTCCTTGATTACATTAGTTCAAATGTAATTACTATTATTAACTATTTCATTTTAGGATATCTTGTACTACGAACAACTGAAGTCTAATGTCATCCAGTACAATCTTTTGGTGGACAGTCTGATTTATAAAGTGAGTAATTTTTGATTTGCAAAGTTCTGTCATCAGTAATTAATGTGTTACTCAGCCTTTAGGCTTTATGTAGTGAAAAAGAACGTTTTCTGTGAAATTAAAACCTGTGCTTAATTAATGGCCTTTTATAATGACTAATCTTACTGATTGTGTTCTGCTTGCAAGATAGCAGGTATCACCAGTGATGGGATTCAGCCGGTTCGCACCAGTTCGGCAGAACCGGTAGCTAAATTTTGTTGAGTTTGGAGAACTGGCTGAAAGCATACCACTTCCGGAAGTCTGTTCTAGGCCTCAGAGGCCTGGAGGAGGCCTCCCAGACCTAGAAGGCCCTCCGGAAGTGCGAGGATGCCACTTCCGGAAGTCCATTCTAGGCCTGGGAGGCCTGGAGGAGGCCTCCCAGGCCTAGAACAGCCCACTGGAAGTGCGGGGATGCCACTTCTGGAAGTCCGTTCTAGGCCTGGAGGAGGCCTCCCAGGCCTAGAACAGCTCACTGGAAGTGCGGGGATGCCACTTCCGGAAGTCTGTTCTAGGCCTGGAGGAGGCCTCCCAGGCCTAGAACAGCCCACTGGAAATGCGGGGATGCCACTTCCGGAAGTCCGTTCTAGGCCTGGGAGGCCTGGAGGAGGCTTCCCAGGCCTAGAACAGCCCACTGGAAGTGCGGGGATGCCACTTCCGGAAGTCCGTTCTAGGCCTCAGAGGCCCAGGCCTGCATCCACGCAGAGAACCAGTTGTTCAGGGATTTGAATCCCACCACTGGGTAGCACACTAATTCAAGGACCTTGAATTTCTGGCTAACATGAAGGAGTGGAAATATGTATGGTTTTGCTATGATCACCATAATATATCTTTTGAATGTGGTGTTAATGTAGACGTACAAACAGATGAATCAAAATCAGCATGACTCTTGTTACAAGAATTCCGACTTTTGCACCTATTTAGAGTCCTTTGGAATGTAGAATATCTCAGTTTGGCCAAACACAATCTTGGGCATTCAAAAACTTGATCAGAAGCCATTTCATTTCCTGAGTAAACGGGGAAAAAAGCCCTCTTAGTTTGGACTGCTGACTAGTTAAATAATAAACAGCAGGAATAAATGGAGATTTGAGACATGTCAGTTGCTGGATCCCACAATATTTTGTGCTGGGATTTTTTTAAAGATATAACTAAATATTATGGGGTTGGGAAACAATAAGAAGCTGATCTAATTTATGGAGTACAGTGAACATTTTGGGTCCTTGTGTTGCTTTTTTTTGCTTTTTGGGGGTTCCAGATTAATATTTTGGAACTGACAAATAATGTAAATACTTCAGAGCTTGTAGGAGAAGGAGAAGCACAGCCTGGGGGTGGAGTCAAGAGAGGACTCAGCCTAGAATCGTTGAGTGTCCACAAACGTTCCAAGTCCATCCCCTTCCGTTGATTTCCATTAACTCTTATCTAGCGCCAATTTGATGCTAACCATTAGTTGACTAGATTTTTATGTATAGGCATGAGCAATAAATCAGTTTAACTGGAACTTAACGTGTGATCCTGATTCTTCACACCCCACAGTGGTTGCTTTATATTTAAAAGCAAGAGTTGATTTGTTTGATGATCCATTTGTTTGCTTTCTTGAAATTCTTTTATGAATTCTTCATATATTGGCATGATACGAAGGACACCCCTTCAGTGCAGGGCAGGCCAGGAAATGAACACCACAAGAACTTCTGGAATTCTGCTTTATGTTATACAGGCGCTCCTTGATGTATGACCACAATTGGGACTGAAACCTCTTTGCTAAGTGATGTGGTTGTTAAACAAATCATGCCTGATTTCACAATCATTAAGCTATCACACAGTTGTTAAGCAAATCCAGCCTTTCCCGTGAATTTTGCATGACCAGTCCTAATTTGTTACTGCAACTGTTTTTTTTTCTGGAGTAGCTCTTTGGAAGCTATTCATGATAGGTGGACAATACTATTTCAGGGCTGTTATTTCTAAGATAATCATTCCTCTCATGCTAAAAAAAACCAGAAAGTGATACAATGGAAAACTTGCAGTGAGCAAAACTAATTAGGAGTGATAGAATCAAATCAAGCATATCTGTGCAGAGCAACAAAAGACGATTAGGGACTGGAGGCTAAAACATATCAAGAACAGTTGCAGGAATTGGGTATGTAAAGTTTAATGAAAAAAAGGACAAGGGGTGACATAGCGTGCTCCAATATCTAAAGGACTGCCACAAAGAAGAAGGAAATCAACCTATTCTCCAAAGCGCCTGAAAGGCAGGACAAGAAGCAACGGATGGAAACTAACCAAGGAGAGAAGCAACCTAGAACAGTGGTGGCGAACCTATGGCACGGGTGCCAGAGGCGGCACTCAGAGCCCTCTCTGTGGGCACGCGCACCATTGCCCCAGTCCTGGGCCTTCAGCTGGGTTTTATAAAACCTTTTCGCTTTAGGCCTCCGCCGCCGTGTACAAAAAAAAAAAAAGGTTCAATCAATCAGTCAATTTCAACTTCTCGCGGAAAAAAAAAGATCTTGCAAAGTTGGAATTGATTGATTGAACTTTTTAGTCCCACCCAGTCTGCCGTTACCATCGTAGCCACGCCCACCCAATGGGCATGTCCAGCCAATGGGCCACACCCACCCGGCACCCAATGATGCATAAGTGGGTTTTGGGTTGCAGTTTGGGCACTCGGTCTCTAAAAGGTTCGCCATCACTGACCTAGAACTAAGGAGAAATTTCCTGACAGTGAGAACAATTAATCAGTGGAACAACCTGCCTCCAGAAGTGGTGAATGCTCCAACACTGGAGGTTTTTAAGAAGAGACTGGACAAGCATTTGTTTGAAATGGTATAGGCTTTCCTGCCTGAGCAGGGGATTGGACTAGAAGACCTCCAAGGTCCCTTCCAACTCTGTCATTCTGTTTTTTTTATTATAAATCAATGATTCTGATGGAACTTTTCATTGTTTTTGAAAATTAGAAGTTGACGAAAGACCGAGTTTGATATATGATTAGTGCCATAACTATTGTTAACTATTGTTAATGCCATACATTAGAATAGGATAGGGTAGGGTAGGGTAGGGTAGGGTAGGGTAGGATAGGATAGGATAGGATATGGAGTAGAGTAGAGTAGAGCAGAGCAGAGCAGAGCAGAAGAGAAGAGAAGAGAAGAGAAGAGAAGAGAAGAGAAGAATGGAATGAAGAATAGAATATAGAATAGAATAGAATAGAATAGAATAGAATAGAATAGAATAGAATAGAATAGAATAGAATAGAGAAAATATGCAATAGAATAGAATAGAATAGAACAGAACAGAATAGAATCATAAATGGAATAGAATCATAAATAGAATAGAATCATAAATAGAATAGAATAGAATAGAATAGAATAAGAGCATGAATAGAACAGAACAGAATAGAACAGAATAGAATAGTGCTGGGTCTTGTTATATTGTGTACAGTGTGAGAGATGCCCAGGTGGAAAAAATGTTGCTCAGCTTCAGAAAGTTACGTTTTTTGATTTCAGGATGTGAAACTGACAGCCAGCAATGATGACTACTACTTCGTGTTTGAGGATTACTTATATCAGGTAAGTATTTACGTAGAGCAAATGGCAAATCACACGTCACTGGAAGAAGGACACCTGGGGCAGAGTATAGTTTGTTCTGATTACTTTGTACATCAGATAAAACTTGTAGTGCAACAGCTGCTGTAAGTCGAGCTACAGTGCATTGCTATGTGGATCTACACAAGAGTAAATTCCACTGTGTTTTGTGGGGCTTATCTTTAAGTAAATCTGTACAGAACTGGCTTGAGTGAGTGACTGTATAAATCATTACCTATTAAGAAATCATTCAGTTGTTGCCTGTGGATTGTTAACATCAACCGTAGACAGCTCTGAATCAATAAAGTTAAATAAAGATAATGTATCTGTTGGATAAGTCCAAACCATTGTTGAATCCCTTGCAAACTTCCTGTAAATTGTGGCAGCCCATGCAGTTTGGTTGATTGATTTCACCAGCTAATCTCTGAATGATAGAGACCTAGGACTTTGCAACTGGATCAAAGCAATTTCAGTACTATTTCTTAATTTCTGCTGTTCCTTGCAGTAGTTCAGTGATGGCGAAACTTTTAGAGACCGAGTGCCCAAACTGCAACCTAAAACCCACTTATGTATCGTTGGGTGCCGGGCGGACGTGGCTCATTGGGTGGGTGTGGCCAATTGGGTGGGCGTGGCTGCGGTGGTAACGGCAGACTGGGTGGGACTAAAAAGTTCAGTCAATTCCAACTTTGCGAGATCTTTTTTTTCCCCGCAAGAAGTTGAAATTGATTGAAACTTTTTTTTTTTTGCACACGGCGGCGGAGGCCTAAAGCAAAAAGGTTTTAGAACACCCAGCTGAAGGCCTAGGACTGGGGCGGCGGTCCGCGTGCCCACAGAGAGGGCTCTGCGTGCCACCTGTGGCACGCGTACCATAGGTTCGCCACCACGGCAGTAATTCTATGGACTGTTTAGGACAGTGATGGCGAACCTTTTAGAGACCGAGTGCCCAAAAACTGGCCCCGCCCCCACTCCACGCCCTGCCCCACCCCCGCTCTACCGCCTGCCCCGCCTGCCCACAGGACCACTCACCACCTCCAGGGCCCACCGCAAATCGCCCAGGCAGCCCAGCAGCGCTATGGCGGCCACACCCTCTGCCCGCGCCCTGCAGCATCAACTGAATGATGGGGTGTGAGCAGAGTCTTGTCTACGCTGCCTGGCTGCCATGTCCTTGGCTGCGCTGCTCCGTGTGGGCCACGCTTGAGGGCGACTCTCCTTCAGGGGGGCTGCTGGAGAGGACGGGGTCACGGGGAGGCAAGGCTGGGGCAACGGCACGTGTGCCCACAGAGAGGGCTCCGAGTGCCGCCTCTGGCACCCGTGCCATAGGTTCGCCACCACTGGTTTAGGATATTTTAATAGCAATAAGACTCCCCCCATTGTTCATAAGAGTATGTGTATATCATGCGTACGATCTATCAATCCGTATGAAGCATTGTGTAGCTTTTGGACTTCGGTGGAATTAATTCGTATCCCCGGTTTCATAAATGCAAGTGAAACTTTTATTTAGTGTATTTGATTTATGTATATTGATATTCATTCCTTATTGAGCAAGACAACTGCATCAGAGTTAGTCTCAGCATGAAATATGACGGCCTAGTAGGAAGAACCAGAAAAAAAATACCTTTAAAGAATCCTAAACACAACAAAATAAACCCTACTCCAGAGTATTCAGTCAGTGGGGGAAAAAAACAACAAGTCAGCCGTGCTAAAACAATATTTCAATGCCAAATTCCTGGGGGAAATCACAACTGTATGAGACCAGCGGGAGAGACACAGTTGTGTGGTGGGCGCATTACTCAAAGTGGTTGGCTAGATTTTTTTGTGAATGAAACATAATAGAAAAGAAGGATAAGGGCAACAAAACCAAAATATACTAACAAAGAAAAAGAAAAAAACAGGAAATGTTAAACATTCCCTTCTTCTAAAGATGTCCATCTAGTGCAGGGGTCTTCAAACTTGGCCCTTTTATGACTTGTGGACTTCAACTCCTGGAATTCCTCAGCCAGGCACACGTGCCTGGCTGAGGAATTCTGGGAGTTGAAGTCCACAAGTCATAAAAGGGCCAAGTTTGAAGACCCCTGATCTAGTGAGACCAAGAAGAAGGGCTTTTCCCCCCCCAAACCTTTCTGGTTTTGTGGACTGGAGAGGGGATTGTAGTGGGCTGCGTGCCGGAGGTTGGGGACCCCTGCTGTAGAACATCATCCCTGCAGACATAAGATTGGCCCCCCACTTATGTCCCTGAAGACCTGGCTTTGCCAATAGGCCTGTGGACCCCAGAGAGGGATGGAACCCATCAAATGGCTTGTCAAAGAGGTGGTTGCTTTATTATTGTTTTTATATTGGGTTTTTAATCCTTGTAAGCCACCTAGAGCAGAGTTCTCCAACCTTTCCAGGCTCGCGGCCCGGAGGGGAGAGCAGCTTCCAAATTACTGCGTGCACGCGCGCATGCACGCAAACAGGGCCACGCCCTCTGGTGCTGTACTAGCGGCCGTATTTGCGCATGCGCTGGCGCAATACACATGCCGAACGTGGCCGTGCACACACGCCCGTGCTAGCGGCCTGTTCGCGCATGCGCAAATGGGGTGTGCACACACACATCGCGCTAGCGTCCCCATTCGTGCCCCTGTGCATGCGCAAATGGGGCCGTGGACGCTAGCGTGAGTGGGGGGGAATGTGCACCCACATGTGCGTGCCCTGGCCAGCCATTTCCATGGCCCACTGGCCAAGAGCCCAGGGCCCGGTACCACCCATAGGGTGGGGACCCCTAACCTAGAGTCATTGAGAGTGAGTGGGGTGACTCTATCAATTTTCTTAAATAAATAAAAGAAAACTGGGGGTGTTGGTACGTGAAACATTATAGCTACAGTTATTCTAAGCATTGTTTTGTTTGCAGTGAAGATTAATGAGCGACAGCCAGGGGTTTTGAAGAAAAGGTGGCATTAAGGAGAAATTTGGGTCCTTTTAGGCGTTCTTCTGAAAAGGGCATCAGGAAAAAATAATACAAGTTTTAAAAATTTAAAGATGATTTAAAGATAAAGGGAACCAACAATATCTGCCGTGCCCAGTCTTAGGCATGTACTGTATAAAAGAAATAACCTATAATATATAATAGAATTTACTACTATGAATCTTGGGAAAGCACCCATAATTTATGCATCCATAATATATTACCTTTGCTTCCATTGAAAAGGAAGCTGTGTGTGTGTGCTTGTAAGTTGTCTGCGTTGCTTCTTTTAAATCTCTTTTAATGAAGGGTTATTACATTTGCAAATTTGCTAAGTACACTTGATTATAATGTCAGTATAAATGTCACGGGGTTAGCATCTCATTTTCAAGGTTACTTTCAACTCAATTAGTCAAAGCTGTTGGGAGTGGGTTTTGTTTTTTTTTTGTAGGTGCATCAGACAAGCATTCCTTAGCTTAGCTGATAAGAGTATTCTGTATATTCTGAGAATAAAGCACAGGCAAAAAAATCCAATGCGCTGTAAATCATCATTAAAGATATTTGCCTAACTGCCTCGCAATTAAGAAAGCTTGCAAAATAAAAGCTTGCGCTATTGAAGATGCTATCTGACTTCAAACTACAGCCCTAAGAATAATAGACTGAAACGTCTATTTATTTAAAGAAAAGAAAGCTGCATTATCCAAGCTGTAAAACACCAGGACGACCATTTTTGTACGTGTTCCAGGCTAGGCAATTCTACAGCAATGAAGTCAAGTGTTCCTTCTGCCCTAGTTTCTAGCCAGCATTTTATATTGGTAGGTGGGCAGCAAGAATTGTAGTTGCCCAACATTGGAAAAATGAAAACTTACCAACCGAAGAAGTACTAATTAAGAAAATTCTAGACTGTGCAGAAATGGATAGATGGACTTTAAAGATTAAAGAGAAAGAAGACTCAGTCTACTTTAGAACATGGGATAATTTCTACCAATGGCTAGAAAAACGGGTCAGAGAGAAAGGAACGTGATATGTAATTTTGAATCTATATTAGCAAGAAGAAGGCTATTGAGCGATGAATTAACATATTGTTCATGATAACTAAGTACATCTATTATTGTTAGTTAAATACATGTACCCAGACATTTGCTAGATATTGAAAATGTTATTTGGAAAAACCCCAACCCTAACTCTAACCCTAACCCCGACCCCACCTTATCCCTAACCCTATAAAAACTAATAAAATCTATATATTTGTAGGTGGGCTTTCAGGTGAAACAGTCCTAGGTCTTCGTAGCTAGACAGTTCGGTAATCTTTGCGAGGGGTTGGATAGTTGCCCGTGACACCAAATGCAGCTTTCAGATCACCTTAAGACAGACATGTCAAACACAAGGCCCGGAGGCTGGATGCGGCCCGCGAAGTGGTTTCATGTGGCCCGCGAAGCCATCCTGGAAACAGTGAGGGAACGGCCCCCGCTGCCTTGGCCCTGGCCCTGGCCCAGGCCGGCCAGGAGCCAATGTACAATTTTGTGGTGGCCATTATGCTGAAACGCATTCAGTCTTAGCTCCACAAGGCCGTCTGGAAACAGCGAGGAACCGGCCCCTGCCGCGTCGGCCCCGCCCCCTGGGTGCATGCTGGGGAGGTGTCACCCTTTGTGAGGAATGAAGAAATGGACCATGCCATGGCGCTTGCCCCGGTCCCACCCCCTTCTGCCAGAGACCCTCAGATCTGTCCCACTCCTGCCCAGGCCCTCATAGGCACCCTTGATGCGAACGATGTAGAGCTGGCCATGCCCACTCAGTAGGCCACACCCACTCCATCCACGCCCACCCAGTAGGCCGCACCCACCTTGGCCCCACACACACCGCCCCCCCCGAGGGCAACCTCAATGCTGATGCGGCCCTCAATGAAATTGAGTTTGACACCCCTGCCTTTTTTTTTAATAAAGTTTTTTATTAATAAAACAATTAAAACAAAAAAGGACATGACATGATGTTCCAGTATATATAATCCTAACAATTCGTTCCTTATCATATTTAAAGTTCTATATAT